GAGGAAAGGGGGAGGCAGGTGGGGGGCTGTGTATTTCTTCAGTTTTTTGAGACAGAGTCTTGCTATGTAGTCCAGGCTGGCCTCGAACTCACAGTGATCCTCCTGCCTCAGCCTCCAAATGCTGGGGTTACAGGTGTCCACCACCATGCCTGGCGTGGAAGTTACACTTTTGGGAGCCACAGGCCAGCAGCAGGGCTGGCCTGGAGGTCACTGCGGGCCTCACCTTCGACCCTGCTGTTGTCAGCAGGAAGGTGGCCATGTCCCACCCAATGCCCTGCCTTGGTGTCACTGTGCCCTGGGAAAATGCTAGGCCAGGGGCTGGGAGGGGGCTGACCTATGCTGTGGACACTCAGGGCAGGTGTGGCCTCAGACGGTGGCAGCTGAGCACCGGCAGGGAGATGAGCACCGAGGGGCCTGGGGCCCAGCCCGGCCACTGTCATGACTGCTCCCGCCCTCTGAGCTGGCCCTGTAGGACGAAGCCTGGTGCAACTGGGTCTCAGCACTTCCTTGTCCCCATATAGGGACAACACCCGGAAGCTCAGGCCACCCCACAGGGCTCACATGCAAATCTCCTGTGGGTGGAGAAAAGCCCAGTCTCTGGTTCTCAGTCCTTAACAGTGAACGATTGCATTCATAATTTAAAGAAAAACCACCCAATGCAATTATAATTTTTTAAATTATGGGTGGCCAAGTGCAAGGAACATTAATTTCAGAGTCAGCCGACCGGACTTGCAATCTTAAACTCATCGTCTAAGATTGTAGCCAGGCATGGTGGAGCAGACCTGTAATCCCAGTGCTCAGGAAGCTGAGGCAGGAGGCTTGCCTGGAGTTGGAGGCCAGCCTGGTCTCCATAGTGTGAGCCTGGCTCAATGAATGAATGAATAAAGCACAGATAGCTCCTGGGGCTGTGGATGTAGCTCAGAGGCAGAGCCTTTGCCTAGCATGGTCAAAGCCCGGGTTCTATTCCTAACACACAACACACACTACACACCACACACACACACACACACACACACACACCTGGTGACACAGTGCCTAGCAGATGTGCCTAGCTTTCTCTCTGGAATGGGATGCTGTCTCGGGCTGTGGCATGGGACTATGGGGCTGGCTGCTTGCCTCATCCTCCCCCATGGATTAGCAGAGGCCGGAAGTCCTCGGGTGGCCCACCTGTGTCTGTCTGTCTGGACTGAGAAGATGGGGCATCCACAGGATCAGGGACAAACTTTGGGAATCAGTAGCATCTGCAAGCTGATGGTGGGGGGGAGAAAGCGCTCACCATGGGGGAGGGGAGCCTGCTGTTCACCCCACTGGGAGCTGGGGGCAGGCTCCCCACTCCGATGGCCCCCTCGTGACCTGCTGGCCTCTTCACACACATCCTCATGCCTGTGATTCCTCAGAGCCTGGCCAAGCCATGAGGGTGGGTCCCCAGGGCCGGGCCAATGGGTGCCGCATGGCGCATGGCTGACCTTGGGCCTTTGCCAGCTCTGAGGTGGCTGCACAGCGAGGAATGCAAACCTCCCATCCGGCCCAGCCCTCCAGGTGGGGTGTGAGCCATGGGGTGCAGGGAGGGGACCCTGCTCAGGAGTCACAGCCAGCCTTGGCTGAGGCACTGCTGCACCGTGGGAAGGGGTGCTCAACCCCTTCCCCTCGCACCCCAGGTCCTCAGCTTGATGAAGTCATCAGAGATGTGCTGTGTTCCCCTCAGAGCTCCTGGGAAGCTGGGAGCCAGTGAGTATTTTGATTAAAGAACCCCAGGGCCCCCCACAGCCACCCTGGCTCTCCACCCCAGCTGGAGAAGGCCCCACTCACCTGCCATCCAGGGACCCTTAGACCCAGGCTCCTGGGACCCTGCTGGGCCCTGTGCTACAGGATTTGAGGGCCCAGCTGGGCCCCCTCTGCAGGGTAGGAGTCATAGGGTCAAGGGAGGCGACCCTGGAACCCAGCACCCTCCTAGCTGGGACTCTAGAGGTCTCGGCTTAAATCCCCAGGCCCTTCTTCAGCTTCCTCCATGTCAGCACAGAGCCAGGGGACAGAGGTGTCCACAAGCCCTGGGGTGGCCAAGGGGCAGCTGTCTGTGGGTAAGGACAGGGGTGCAAATGGCTCTGGAGGTTCAGGCTTCCGCCTCACTGTGAGTAAGGCCAGGCAGCTAGGGAAGGGCTGGGGAACTCAACATGCTACACTCTTACTGCATCCTCTGCTGCTCCACCCCAAACCCTTCCCTCCAATCCACCCTCATGGATCAGCCAAAACCCTGGAGTCATGGTCTCCATAGCCCAGAGTGGCGCTGCACATCTGTGATCTCAGCACTAGGGAGGCTGAGGCAGGAGGATTGCCATGGGTTGGAGGCCAGCTTGGGCTATACAGTGAGTTCAAGGTAGGTCAGTTTGAGCTACACAGTGAGACCCTATCTCAAAAAACCAAAGAAATTAAAGATTAACTAAAAACACGGCCTTGCCTGGCTCACCCCCCCCCACCCCCCCAAGGAGCCTGGGCTCACCCAGGAGGCTGGGGAGGGGAAGGGAGGTGCTGACTTCAGCTGTTCCTCTAACTCCCAGGCAGCAGGGGCAGGGAGACTCCCGGGCAGAGCCAGGCCTGGCTGACTCAGAGGGTGGGGTGACCCAAGGAGCTCTCATGGCCCCGGGCACCCCGGGGACCTGTCCAGCCAGTTTCCCCGTATCTGCCACATGGGTATTTAGTTTGTAATTCCTGCCATACATCACCCTGGAGACGGCTGGGTCCCCTCGGGGAGCCCCAGAGACAGGGTGACAGTGGCATGCTTAGAAAAGGGCACCCTCCTTGGGCCCAGGCCTGCAGGGGACAGGACTCCCAGCTCCCTTCCCTGGGCCTCAGCATCCCCTGGCTCATAAGCTTGGGTTGCAGAAAGGTGAGGTGGTCCTGGTGTGGGAAGAGCAGACTCAAGGGGACCCTGATGAGCCACCAGGGCCTCCCCTCTTCCAACAGAAAGTTGCTGTTGGGGACCCTCGAGGAGCAGCCTGGTCCTCAGTCACCCCAAAATGAGAGGCTGGGCTGGGGATGGGCTGCGTCTGCCCTGGATGGATGCCACTGTGTGGTCCTGTGTTCTGGGGCATGAGCACTGAGGGTAGGTGAGGGGGGAATGGGATTCAGCTCCAGAAATAGAACGTGGCACCGTCCTTTCATCGGCACGTACAGTTCTGGGCTTCTCTGGAATCAAAGGTAGAGGCTGACTTTGTGCCTCTTTGTGCTGGGGTTTGAGGCCCACGGGTGGTCACCACCAAGCTACACCTGGCCTTTGAGACAGGCTCACACAATCACTCAGTTGCTCAGGCTGCGCTTGAGTTTCTGATGCTCCTGCTTTGGCCTCCCAGAGTGCTGGGCTGACAGGCGTGCATCACCATGCCTGGCTTGGTGCGGTACTGTCTATTTTTGTCTGTAATGACCCCGAGTTGTTTTATAAGCAGAAAATAAAGGGTTTCAGGTCATGTTCCCAGAGCCCTGGGGAAAGTCATACTTGGACGGCCTCGTGTTGCCTCTTGGGATCTGGCAGGCAGAGTTGGCAAAACAGAACAAAATGATGGGGCAAAGGGGGAGAGGGGTGCGTCCAGCCATGCTGGACAGTGTGGCACCTGGGGCCAAGACGCAGCCACCATGGAGTCTACCAGGCGCCATGAGCTCAGGCCATGGCAAGGTCACAGCGACAGCACTGCCCCTGCCCAAGTGTGGTCTGAGACGGGATGGAGCCCACATTTTCGAGGCTGGCTGTTCACAGCCCAGGTCTGGGGTCTCCAACACAGTAGCCAGCGAGTCTCTGGAGCACCTGCCACTTGTTAGTCATGGGACACGCTATCCATGTAGTGCTCCGGATTATGAAGACACAGTATGAAAAGAGAATGTAAGACATGTCACTACTATTTTTATATTGATTGAATATTGAAATGATAATCTTTTGACTCTATTGGGTTAATAAGTAAAATGTATTAGTAAAATTAATCTGAGGGCTGGGGGTTTAGCTCAGTGGTTCTGGTGCTTGCCGCACAAGCACAAGGTCCCAAGTTCAATCCCTGGTACCAAAAAAAAAATAAAAATAAAAATAATAATAATAATAATCTGTGCTGGGTGTGGTGGGACTCTGAGAGGCTGAGGCAGGAAGATCACAAGGTAGAGCCCAGCCTGGACAACTCAGTGACTTAGTGAGACTTTGTCTCAAAATAAAAAATAAAGAAGGGCTGGGGATATAGCTCAGGGTAAAGGTCCTGGGTTCAATCTCCAGTTTAAAAAAAAAAAAAAAGTTAATGGGGCCTATTTGACCTATTTCTTTTTCTTCTTTGTTTATTTTTGTGGTACTGGGGCCGGAAGCCAGGGCCTAACATGTGCTGGGCCAGTGCCCTGCCACTAGTGACCAAAACACCTGCCCTTTACCTACATCTTTTTACTTTTAACACAGATACTAGGAAATCTGGATGTGCCCTGTGTGCTCCCACCCTGTTTCCCCTGACTCCCTGTCTGGAGGTCCCCGAGGCCCAGGAGCCCCCGCAAATGATCAATAGAACCTGTCACAGGGCAGCTGCTTCTGGTCTCTTTCCTCCAGAGCCAAAGCCACCCCCAGCCCCCATGAGAGCTTTTTATTTTCTGTGGTTTTAGACTCAGTGCAAATCTGTCTCAAATGCCCCCTCCCAGGGCTCACTTCTGTTTGTCCTGTGTGGCAGCTCAGATGCCACCTCTTCCAAGTAGCCCTCCAGGGCTTCCCCTCACAGCTGCCCTGATTGCATTCCTTACCCACCCCTGCCACTCACAGGCCACTGCTCAGCCTCAGTCAGCTGGCAGCCACCACCTGTGCAGGGCCTGGCAGCTTGGGTGCCACCCCAGGTGCCTCCTGGGTTTCACCAGGGAAGAGCCGATGCCCAATTCCAGCCTTCCCGCCTGAGCCGCCTGGCTGGCATCAGGAGGGGAGGGCATGGCACCGGTGGGGCTGGCATACAGGGCGAGCAAGGGGACCTGGTGCCTGGTGGAGCCATACTTACCAGTGGGAGGAACGTCAGCAGGGGCCGCACACGGGGCCGGGCCTTCAGTGTGGCCGTTCCTGACTCGCTGACCGTGTCCAGTCGAGCATCCCCGTAACAGATCCCATCTGCAGGGCAGAGCAAGGGGACACCGTGAGCTGCGAACAAAGGCAGACATCTGGCCACCAACTTTATCCGTCCTGCAGTTCTCAGCAAGGAAGCCAGACCCGGAGACTCCCCACCCCCAACTCCGCTAACCCCCTCTGACACAGGAAGGTCCTTCTGCTGGAGCAGGGCATGGTGGGGAAAGCCTGTGACCCCAGCACTTGGGAGGCTGAGGCAGGAGGATGGGCAACATGTGAGTCCAGCCTGGGCTACATGGAGAGACTGTCTCCCACACAGAAAAAGGATTCTAAGTAGGGTGTGTATGCGAACAGGGCCACTGGGGTATCACTGTGCGGTTGCTCCTGGGGTCTCCTCTTGTGTCCTGGGGCTTCTGGACCCAGCCACCTTCCTTCTGAGCACTCCACAGACAGGTCCCAAGCCTTCTCTCCCACAGCACACTTCCTGGGGTGCCAGAGAGCCTCAGGCTGAGCTCACCCGAGAGGGAGGAGAAGGGCGCAGTTCTCCCAAGTGTTCCACCTTCTAACCAGAAACAAGCAGAGCACACAGGTCCGCACCCTTCCAGCCCTAGCTGTCCCTACCCCAAACACCCCGAGGTGCGTGGGACTGGAGGAGCAAGGGCTGTGTGGGGGGAGGTGGCGACGGCACGGAGTCCAGGGGTGCTGTAGGATGTGCCCAGCCTGCCCCCCACCCCATCTCACTGATCAGTTCCCAGCTCCAGGCCCAGACGGTCAGCTCCTCAGCTCCTCGGGCGGGGATCCCTGCAGGTCCTGGAGGAGGGGAGCTCCCCCCCACCCTGCGCCCCCCACCCCGTGCCCCCCACCCCACCCCGCTGTGGGCCTGGAAGAAACGGTCAGACCCTGCTCCTGGGAGCACTGAGGGAGCCAGCCTCACTGAGCCCCTGCTCAGGAGACTTCGAGGAAGACACAGAATGTGTCCAAGAGACTGGGCTTGCTGGGGGCTCTGGGACCAGAGCAGCATCCTGATTACTGAGCCTCAGGTGTGACAGGAGGCTCCAGCACCAGAGGCAGGGCCCTTGGGTGCTGCCCACCCACCGAGGGACACCCAGGGCACCACCTCCGCAGAGGGCCATGCGGCAGGGCATGGGAGGATGAGGTTGGCCTGGCCGGGGGCGGAGGGGACTGTGAGGCACAGATTCGGTCCGATCAAAGGAGAGCCTAGCGAGGAGTGCCCACTGGGGACACTTCCAGAGTGGAGGGTGTGGACTGGGCTGGGTGGGGTCATGGCAGGGACATCGGCACAATGGCCTGGGTGCTGGGAGATAACCTACCTACCTCCTCTCATCTCTGTACCTGCCGGGGTCCCGGGTCCCCCCACCTGATGCTGAGTTTGAGTTATCACCATACCGATGCCCTCCACTCTTGGGCACCCAGGCACCTTGGAAGTGTCACATCTCAGCAACCTGGCAATATGGAAACTCTAGAGAAATAAGCCATGCCAGGGAGTGGAACACACCTGTGATCCCAGCACTCAGGAGGCTGAGCCAGGAGGGTCACCATGAGCTCTAGGCCAGACTGGGCTACTTAGTGAGAGCCGGTCTCAAAAAAAAAAACAAACCCACAAGGCCCAGGGATTTAGCTCAGTGGTGCTGCGCCTGCCTCAAAAGCGCAAGGTCAGGGCCAGGGATTTAGCTCAGTGGTTCCACCACCTGCCTTGCAAGCTCAAGGTCCAGAGTTCAATCCCCAGTACCAAAAAAAAAAAAAAACAGCACAAGGTCTTCAGTTCGACCCCCAGCACCACCACCAAAAAACAAATTAAATTCTCAAAATAGCTCTGTAACGGATGAGGAAACTCAGATACAAGGTCAAATAACTTGCCCAAGGCCTGACAATAAGTATGAACACCAAGGTGTCCCTGAGGGGCCTGGCCTCTGGGCCCCTTGTCCCCACAGGGAGTGACCCCAGTCACACCAGAGACAGCACTGGCAGAGGGCTATGAAGTTTGGGTACTGCAGGGTGGAGGAGGCCTGGCTTTGGCCTCCAGCAGCTCTAGGGGCATCAGGAGGTAACACAGCCACCCAAAGCCTTGCAGGGCAGGGTCAGGACCAGGATGGAGCCAGTTGAGGTGGCATCAAGCCCCAAACTCCAGAGCCTTGAGGCCTAGGCCTCACCACTTTCCTGTGGGTGGTGTCCCAGCCAGGGCCCCTTCTAAGCACAGAGCTGTCCCAGGGGCCCAGCTGTGGGGTCCCCTCCTGGAAAACCCCATTTGCTGTTCCAGTCCTTGAGGTGGGGGGTGTGTGTGGCAAGGGACACTGAGGCTGTGAAGACAGAAAGGGGTGGCCAGGGACAGGCGAGGAAGCAGAGCTGCCGCCCCCCCCCCCCCGCCCAGGGCCGCTCCAGGGAGAAGAGTCTGCCCAATGCCTCCTTCTAGCCCCAAGTCCAACTTCACTGTAAGATAATAAGTCTGTTGTTTTAAGCCCTCCCCCCAAAAAAATGAAAAAGGGAGGTGTGGCTAGAACCTGCCAGGCCTCTCAGGGCCTCTCCTGCCTGGCCTGTCCCACAGGGCCAGACACCACTCTGGGAGGGCCACCTTCGATAGGTCCCCCAAAGGTTCAAGGCCAGGCTGGGCCTTTCTCCCCTCAAAGTCAAGGACAAAGCTAGAAAAAGAGGCCAAGCCCAGGGACTTTGCTATGGGAGTAACGGATCTGTATCACAGTGTTGGTGACACTGGAACAGGCCTTTCTGAGCAGCAGAGCAGGCCCCTCTTCCAGATGAGGAGGCAGGGCAGGGGGAAGGGGGCGGGATGGCAGAGAGGGCCCTGTCCCAGCAACGAGGACTCCTGCAAACTCCTGGGTCCCCTTCCCACCGGAGGACCCCTCTGAGCCGCGATGCTGGCTGTTTTTGCTTGCTGTGTGCATGGGTCAGAGAGGCGGCCCTAGAACATCCAGGAGGGATTCAGAAAGATGGGAAGGAAGGAGCTGACCAGGACCCAGGAGCTTCCAGAGAAAGGGAGGGTCTTCCAGAGATCCAGGGCCACGGCAGCCTAGGAGAAGCTTTGGGAGCCCACCCTGAGCCCTGGGGACCACAGCCCTGTGGAGAGACCACTAGAAGCTGGGGGGTGGCATTCCAAGCCATAATTCCAGTACGGTACTTTGAGAGGCTGAGGCAGGAGGATGGCACGCTTAAGTCTTGCCTGGGCACTTAGTGACTTAGCAAGACACTGCCAAAATTTAAAAATAAAAAAAATTTTTTTTGTAAAGGTCTGGGAGGGAGGGAGCTCTGGGGATGTAGCTCAATGCAAAGGCCCTGAGTTCAACCTCTAGTACTGCAAAAATAAAAAACAAAAACAAAACCCACACAACAGGCCTTGATGTCAACAGGCCTGGATAAGAAGTCGATCTAGCTCTGCATCCATCTCCCAAACTGACAGTAAAGCAGTGCCAACTCTGTCCCCATCAAGTCCCCATGTGGGCAGGATGAGCACAGGGCTCCTCCAGACTTCCTAAAAATCCCTCCTCATGCCCTGCTGGAAAGTTTTCCTTCAAACCCCCTGAAAGACTAGAGCTGACAGAAGTATCACCCAACATCCCAAAATCTGCTTCCAAAATAATCCTGGGTCCCACCAGGGGGCGTCATCTCCTGTTTCCACTTGGGGATCCCAGTTCCCCTGCCCTGGGTCTGGAGAGGCTGGGTGGGGTCAGGGTCCAGGCTCTCTGGGGTCCCCGTGCTGTCACTTAGCGCATGCCCTGGGAGTGCTCCTATGTGGCTGACCCTGCTTCCGCATCTTTGTCATCGTGACGGTGGTCCCTGAGGGTGGACAGCTGTGGGGATGATGAGACAAACCTCGGAGAATGTGAGCAATGTGCCTAGCAGGCAACTACTGCTTAGCAACGGGGGTGGCTTTTGTCATTGTCATTCTTGTCCTCATTGCTATCCCTCCCCTTCCCTGTCTCCCTCCCAGAGTTTGGGCTTCAAGCTTGAATCAGCTTATGCCACTCACAAGTTACAGTGAACACCTGCACCCACAGTGACAGCCGTGGGGAAGGAGGTGACAAGGATCATTCTGAGTCCTTACACTGGGGACACAGAGGCCCAGAGCGGGAGGGGCTGGGCCTAGGATCCAGCTCCTCTCCGGGACAGGCAGACCCAGGTCTTTATTTTGAGACAAAGTTTGCCTACATTGCCCAGAATAGGTTTGAACTTGTAATCCTCCTGCCTCAGGCTCCTGCATGGCTGGGATTACAGGCATGCACCACCATACTTGACAGGAAAATAGCCTTTTCATTCCTAATTTACAGATAAGGAAACCAAGGATGCGAGAGATTATATCTCCTGCTCAAGCAACCTGACTCTAGGATCCAATTTCCTGTGGTCACTGCCAGTACTGCGAGGAGACAGGGAGGGACCCTGTCTCTTCCCTCAGTCTCCTGTGTCCGGAGGAGCTTGAACCTGCAGAGGGAGGTGATGGGTCTCAGGTTTCTACATCATACTTTTTTTTTTGTACCGGGGATCAAACTCAGGACCTTGCGCTTGCAAGGCAGGCGGCGGAACCACTGAGCTAAATCCCCGGCCCGTGTCTCGGGTTTCTAGCTTGGTGCACACCCACTCCGGTCTGCAGTGCCTGGCAAATGGTTGCTCTTTTTCAGGCTTGGTTTCTCCACCTGTAAAGCGGGATAATTGCCGCCACTTTGCAGGGCTGGAGGAGTTGGGGCGGGAGTCCCACCTCTCCAGGGGCCTCAACACCGGCACAGGTCTGATCCATTCCAAGTATGGGGAGGGTGGGGTCTCAGCCTGGGGAGTCCCATGTCTCAACTCAGGACCCCCAACAGACTCACTCCAGTTCCTACCTCCTCACAGACACACGAAGGCACGAAGGCGCTGCAAGGTACGAAGGGGGGAGCCCCTGCCCAGAGGGGAGCAGCAGGGTGACCCCGTGTGAATGAAACCAACAAATGACCTTAATGAGGCCCTTCCTTGCTAATTAGCAGGTCCACAGGATGAGACTGGCAAAGGCCAGTTTGTCCCAGCAAGCTCAGGCAGGCCAGACCCAAGCGCAGAGGCCCTTGTCAAAAGGCAGAGCGGACGCTGAAGGTTGGCCGGGGTGGCCAGGCTGGGGGCAGAGGAAGCAGGGTAGGAGAGGACAGCAGGGGAGGAGCCTTGGGAAGGGCAGCTGAAAGGACCTCCAGTGGGGACCGGAGGGGGTGGCACAGCACACGGGGCCTCTGCTTCCTAGCTAGGCTGGCTGCTCAGTGTCCAGAACAGTGGGACAAGCTGCCTCATGCCCAACCTGCCAATCTGATCTTCCCAGGAGAGTCGGGTGTGGTGATGGAGGCCTGTTACTCTAGTATTCTGGAGTCTGAGGCAGGACAGTCCCTAGGAGTTCAAGGCCAGCCTGGATTACCCAGCAAGACTCCGTCTAAAACAAACAAACAAACAAACTACACACACAAAAAATGACCCCAGGAGAGGCCTGGGGGTGCAGCTCAGTGGCATCGCCCTTGCCTAACAGGCATAGGTGCTGGCTTCCATCCCCAGTCCTGTCCAAAAACGGGCCAGAGCTCGGGGGACACAAAAATATTGAGCTGCCATTGGCTGCAGTGACTTTGAGTCACTTTATGCTTCTGAGCCTTCGGAATCTTGTTTCTTCAACAGAAAAGACCTTTTAGAAATTTCAGTGTTAACAAACAGCCTGCTGAGGCACATGTGCCTTAGGTTCCCCACTAGAGCCCTAGGTGGTCCTTAGGGCCTAGTTCAGGAAATGGTAACAATAACTGTTGTTGTATTGTCTGGGAGAGAAAGGGTAGCCTGAGCTAGTCTGCCGGGTGAAGGTGACTACAGCAAGAGAGGCGCTTACATAATGGGCCTGTGTGCATATGCGTCTGTGTGCGTGTGTGTGTGTGTGTGTGTGTGTGTGTGTTTTGTACTGAACCACAGCTGACCACACCACACCTCCAGGGCCTGAGAGTAAACAGAAGTCTCCTTGCCCCCAAAAAGCACAGGCCCACTTCTTGCAGGCTGGAAAGCTCTGGCACTCACGGCTTCCCATGCTTTTGCTGGGCCTGAGACCAGAGATCAGGGCACCGGGAGGACAGGGACTCTTGAAGTGGCTACTACCATGTTCCCTACACTTCCAACCTGGTTCACTAAAGAATCCCCCCCCCCCCCCGAAGCAAGATAGACACCCAGGGCCTGGGCCCTGAGTCCTAGGTCTGAGAAGGGGCCTAAGGAATCTGCATTTTAAAGAAGTGTCCTAGCTGGGTGTGTTGGTGTACCCCTGGATCCCAGCACTCAGGAGGCTGAAGTAGGATAGCCACAAATTCAAGGCCACCCTGGGCTGCGCAGTGAACTGCCTAGTGAGATCCTGTCTCAAAGCAAAACAAGACAGGAGAAAGAAAAGAAAAAAAGAATTGTCTTGAGCCAGGATGGATGTCCTATGGCTATAATCCTAGCTCTTGGGAGGCTGACGCAGGAAGATCACAAGTTCAAGGCCAGACTGGCTACATAGCAAGACCCTGTCTTAAAAAAAAAAATCCTAGGTGGTTGTGATGAAGCCACACTTTGCCTTGGGAGGAACAGGGCAGCAGGCAGAGTCCCCCAGCCAACAAGGGCTTGCCTAAGAAGGGGCAAGGAGGAGTCCCTCTCCTGCTCCCTTATCAGGGATTCACAAAGATCCACATCTCTGCCTTCTCAAGCATTTGAAGCCCAATTATGTGGCCTTTAAAGACCCCTGTTTGGGTTGTGGGAGAGAAGAAGCTTAATTAGGGTTGCGATTACTTCCAGTGAGGTCTTCTAATTACTGCAATGAACAGGAAGGAAATCCTTCATTGTTGTTTTTCCTGAGTCAAAGTCTCACTCGTTCAGGCTGGCCTCAAACTCACTTCATAGCTCAGCCTGGCCTGGAACTCATGGCGATCCTCCTGCCCCAGCCTCTCAAGTACGAGGTTACAGGTGAGCACCACCAGGCCTGGCTAGAAATTCTTTAAGAAACCCGGCACCACCTTCATCAGCCAACCTGTGCAGAGACGGCTACGGGCCGTGGCACGGGGCTCCCAGGTACGCTGATCCCTTACATGTCCCTGTGTGATCCACCCCTCCATCCAAGACCCGCTGGCATGTCACCCCACAGTCAGACTCCAGGGCCCCAGGGAACCCGGATCCCCACCCCTCGGAAACCACAGCCTCGTGGTGGAGAGGAGCGGAAGCGGCGGGGCTGGGGGCTGGGGAGGGACCGGAGATGAGGCTCTCCTGGAGGGCTAGGCAGGCTGCAGCCCAGTCTCCCAGCTATGACGGGGGCAGGGAGCGGCTTGACTTCCCAGCCTCAGGCACCCGAACCACAACCCCCCAAGAACAGAAGGAACAGCCAGATCCAGGTCCTCTCCGTCCCACCCCAAGCTCCTGGGGGAACACCCAGCTGGCCCGGGTGCCCACACCCCATCCGTGTTCAGGCTCAGCGGCTGAGTCAGCTGAGGCCCAGCCTCGCTTGGGGACTGGCGAGCTGTGCCCAGGGCTCCAGCCTGCCGGACTGGTAACAGCACACAGGCCCCTCTTCTCTTACTTGGGGCACTGAAAACAGACAAGGTGCCAGGGAAGCTGGCTGGAGGCCCCCCTAGCCTGAGTTTGAGGCAGGCACCTGCCAGTCACCCTGTGTCACTGGCCCCCAGAGGGAACTCAGCTGAGAGCGGAGTCCCTATCAAGGTTCAGAGGTTGGCTGAGCCCTTCAAAAGGGCCTCTGGGGTCACCACATGTCCTCAGATTGCATCATGGTGATGACCACAGTCCCGTAAGTCCACTCAAATCTGAGCTGAACGGGGATGATGGGAAAACAGTGAACGCTTAAATTACAAAATTTACCCCCCACACTCCAAACACATTTATTCCACAACTCTCGCCACTTTCTGAAGCAGCTCTGGAAGTCCTCTCATGAGTGTCTCTAGTTGTGCTGCTGTGGCTGCCTCGAAGTCCTGAATTGATTTCCCTTTCACAGTCGTTTTGTCTTTGGGGAAGAGCTAGAAGTCGACTGGTGCCAGATCCCTGAGTAAGGCGGGTGAGGCCAGCATCAAGTGTTTATGAGCCTGCCTTCCTGTTGGATGGCACTCAGCAGCAACGTTCACCATATTTTTGATCACACCTTCTAAAGACATAGGAGAAAGGACTTCCAGACTTGATTGAGAAAGTGGCAAGAATGATGGGATAGCCGTAATCCCAGAGCTCGGGAGGCTGAGGCAGGAGGATCACTCGTGAGTATAGGCCAACCTGGGCTACATGAGTTCAAGGCCAGCCTGAACTACATACAAGAATCCCGGCTCAAACAAATGAAAACTACACAGAACAACAAATGAATATTGAGATAAGTGTTTTCAAAGCGAGGGGGAGTATTTGAGGGGGACTCATGGCAATGTGTCCTTTACTGTAATAAATTATTTTAAACACAAGTACCCACTGCACCGCATTGCTGGCTGGGACATTGTTCGCTCACACCTTTTGCACTGGGGAAGGTGCTGGCCGGGCCATTTAAAGTCGTGCAACGTGGAGCCCTCTCCTAACTCCTCAGAGCCTGGGTCACCTCCAGTAATATCGCCTGACTCTAGATAGATTCCTGAATCAACAACACAAAGATCTGAGAGTAGGACCTTGCACCCAGGGGCAGTCCGTGGGTGTTTGCTCTGTGACGTTTCCTTCTGCCCCGGGAGGTGACTGGGCCTGGCTTGGAGGCCCACACGCTGCCCGCCCCGCCAGGCCCGCCTGGCCCTGCTCTGCATGCTGGGTTCCGGAACCTCTCAGGCACAGGCTGGGAAGGCGCCGGACTCTGCTTCTTGCTCTCCAGTGAGCCCGTACCTGGCTGCGAGACCCGGTGCGGAACTGAGTGGCAGCAGGGGCCAAGCCTGGAACATCCCAAGCCAAAGCCCGGATGGGTGCCCCCACTTTCCCACCACTCCATCCCCAGAGCCACCAGCCACGCACAGAAGTGAATTCCCGTCCCCACCCCCTTACAGAGGGCGACTGCAGAAATACACAGGCACCTGGTGACCCCAGGCAGACCCCGCAGGGCCGACGCGCTCTCAGAAGCCTGCCGGGGCGCTCGCCTGGTTCAGGGTCCCGCGGCAGCTGGGCTGAAGAGGGGCCGCCTTGGCCGCTGTCCCACCTCCAGCCCCTCAGCTGAGCTCACAAACAACCTGGGGCTCGGGTGGACCCGGGCTCGAGGCTCGGTGTCACTGCAGGCTGGAACCCGCCTGCAGCGGCTCCTGGTGACTCTGCCCAGGCCTGGCCAGTACAGAGCCAAAGGTGTGGGCGCCGGGCAGCAGCCTGTGCCTCTGCCCCGGGACACGCAGGTCGGGGAGCCGGGTGCCCCGGCCCTCGATAGACCTGGGCGCTGCTTTGAGTCCGGGAAACGCGGACACAGGCGGCGGGGCTGGGGGAGCAGCGACGTCTGGCAGCAAACGGCAGGGCCGCCAGGCCAGCAGGGCCAGTGAGCACCTCGGGGAGGCCAGGCCGCGGGCGCAGTCCCCAGCCGCGCAGGGTCGTGCCCTGCCTTCCCCGCCCTCCCAGCCGTGCTCACCGAAGTGCCGGGTCCCCTCGTCGGGGGCCTCCTGGGTGAAGATCCAGGGCGGGTTGGTGGCATAGAGAGACGTGGAGGTGGGGCTGGCGTGCTTCTTCCCGAAGAGCTTGCTGAGGGTGCCCTGCACCGCCGGGCTCTTCTTCATGCTGCCGCCGGCCGCCGGGCCTCCACTCTATCCGGCCATGTCCCCGTGCCACCCGCCCGCCCGCACTCCCGGGAAATGCGAGCCACCTGGCCAGGTAAGAGGCGGCGCCGGCCCCGCCCCGCCCCGCGCCCGACTCCTCGGGCCGCATTCCTTCCAGCCCCTTCCACAGGAGCCCTTTGTGGCCGGCCGAGACCTCGCCCAGCCCTGCCTGGGGGAAGGCCGCCCCTCCCCCACCGCGCGGCGCAGGTTGAGGACTCCCCTCCCTCGGGGGGTTCAAGACCAGGCTGGTCTGTGTGGCCGCGCACGCCTGTAGCCGCAGCACTCCGGGAGGCTGAGACAGGGCAGTTGCTTTGAGTTCGGGGCCAGCCTGAACTACACAGAGAGACCCTGGCTCAAAAATAAATAAATAAGGTTGGGGATGGAGTTCAGTATGAAGGTGCTGGGTTCAACACCCAGCACAAAAAAAAAAAAAGAAAAAAAAAAGCTGCCATGAGAAAATGCCCGTAAGAGAAAAAGAAAGCAGGGAGAAGCAATAAAACAGCAAGGTGCTGACAAAGGGGTACGCTCACTCCCTGACAGGCCTGAGAGGACGCAGGGTGACTCACTCTTGGCGTTTTGTGGACATCAAAAATTCTACTATGGGGCCGGGGATTTAGCTCAGTGGTTCTGGCACCTGCCTCACAAGCACAAGGTCCCGAGTTCGATCCCCTGTACCAAAAAAAAAAAAAAAAAGTCAAAAATTCTGCTATGAATATAATGTTTTAAAGCCATACGTGGGGAGAGCTCACCTAGGGCCCCAGTGGGACTCCAGGAGGACAATCCTGGTCCTCTGCAGAGGCCATGGTGGCCAAGCCAGGTCCCACACTCTGGGAGGCTGAGGCAGGAGGACCTGGATTTCCAGCCCAGCCTAAACAACTTAGTGATTTAGCAAGACCTTGTCTAAAAAAAAGGGGGTGTGTGTGATGGCCCGAGGATCAAAGGCCCTGGATTTAATCCCCAGTGTGGGGAAAAAAATCTAAGAGCAATATACAATTATCATCTAATATTCGCTCCATATTTTTGAAATTTTCCATTATCATCTGAAATGTCATTTTAGTTTTTCTCCCATCCACAGTCCAAGTCAGCTTGTCTCCTGTCACTTTAATCTTTCAGTTTACCGTCCCCTGTTTTTCCTTGACGTTTCTGACAAGTCCCTCTTCTAGCTTCAGCTTCCAGGGCCAAGCTGAGCCAAGGCCTCAGGGCTTGGGGCTGGGAGGTTTGTTTCCAAGGTCCTGAGTGGGATGGGACACCGGAACAGAAAGGGGGTGGCATTTAAAAAACACCTGTGCTCCCCAGACATCGGAGACAGCTGTGAGCCCCCCATCCTGGAGCCCCCAGATGTCAGGGGGGGGCGACTGGTGACACAGATAATGGTATCCTCATGATGAGCACTCTGAGCAGGAACTCACCCGCTGGCTTCCAGCTCTCTCCAAATGAACTGATAAGCAGCGACCCAACCCGTGTGATGTGGCACCTGAGTTCTGGGTGGGAGGCCGGGCACGGTAAGTGTGGCCTTACTTATTTTAGTATGAAAGACACATACCAAAAAGTTAATAAAAGTGGTGATGGGAGAGAAGGGGGAGAGCATAATGATTTTTTTGGCACTGAGGATTGGACCCAGGGCCTTTGCACTGACTGGGCCACCCCTCCCCCTTGAAATTTAGACACAGCATCTCACTTAGTCCTAAAGTCACTAATTTGAACTTGGGATCCTCCTGCCTCAGCCTCCCAGGGTGCTAGGAGTACAGGCATGTGCCACCACACCCTTTTAAAGTTTCAAATCATGTAAATTTATTTCTTATTTTAAAATGAAAGAAATAAGGGCTGAGGATTTAGCTCAGTGGCACTGCACCTGCCTCACAAGCACAAGGTCCTGAGTTCGATTCCCCGGTACCAAAAAAAAAAAAAAGAAAGAAAGAAGCAGGCAGGAGAGTTTGGCATAGGCCCCTGCTGCCTAGAGAGGTCCAAGAGGAGTGTGTGTCAAGTATGTCACCTGACAGCTGGAGGGAAGACAAGTGGGCAGGGGAAAGGCTGGGAGCAAAGGGAAGCCTCTTAATTGATCGGTTAATCAGCTGATTGATTGATCCAGCAGGAAAGGAAGGGGCCAGGACTTGTTGCCCATACTGGAATCAGAGAGGGCAGTCTGTTAGTGTGGGAACATTGTCTGGGGACACAGGAGGGCCCGGGAATGCGAGGCATGCAGAGAGAATAGTCAGAGTGCCTTTATCTGTATGCAGCACAGGAAGCCTACCAGCAACTGCTCCTGGGCTCCTGGCTTGTTAGGAAGATTTAATAAAATAATGGAGGCTGAGGCAGGAGGATTGTTGTGCATTCAAGCCCAGACTACATAGCAAGACCTTATGTAAAAGACCCCCCCCAAAAAAAAGATAAAGAGTGCAAAGCATCCGGCCCAGGGGTCTCCAGGAGGGGTGGGTTCAGTGGGGAGTGGTCCCATGGACCCCTCCAGTTTCCTTCTGCCAATGAGGCAGCTTTGGGGGACCTGTCTCCAGGATAGCATCAGGGCCCCGAGAGTCAGAGCCGGCACTGCCCAGTCCCGACCTGTCACCTAATCACGCCTGCTCCTCCGGGAAAGGAAACAGCCAAATAACAGAGGGCCTGTAATTATGTCCTGCTCCGAGGTGACTCAGGGCCCAAGCCCCGGTCAGTTCCGGAATGTGGGCAGGTCTGGCTGGGTCAGCCCGCTGTTCCTCCTCCTGCGGAGCCGGGAGCCAGGCCTCTGCAGTCCCCACCCGGGCCTGTGCAGCTGGCTGTCGGGGAACATAAGCCAGAGCCTGTGACCCCACCATTCAGAGGACGCTGCTTCCGGCACCTCACCCAGCAGGCAGGGGGGCCAGTGTTCACCGCACTGTCCCTCTGGGCTGTGTGGGCTCACAGGCTGTGGGGAAGTTGGATGTGGGGGCGCTGCTGTGCTGAGAAGGCTCGAGGTTCTCACTTATCAGGGCTTGAGGGCAGCACATTTGAGGTGGGCCTGGCTGGGGACTGGTGTGTGTAGGGCCCTGGAAACACTGCATTTTCCTCTTTATCCACCAGCTCTGTTTCTTTGTTTTGGTTTTTTGAGACAGGGTCTTGCTATGTAGTCCAGGCTGGCCTTGAACTCACCGAAATCCTCCTGCCTCAGCCTCCCAAGTGCTGGGATTATAGGTATTTGTTACCAGTGAGATTATGGGCCTGAATCCTGGCTCTGCTGGTTCCCAAGGGGATGACCTTGGCCACAGTATCTCTACCCTGAGCCTCACCTTGCAGGCTGGGATGCTGGACAAGGTTAGCGGCCCTCAGAGGAGCTGGTGCAGGTGGTGCCTGGCCCTGGAGCTCCCTGCCCTCCCTGGCCTGATTCTGGTGGTGCTGAACCTCAGCCAAGCTGCCAGAGGCTTCAGGAGACCAGCAGGGTCCCACCAAGGACTTGGGGAGGAAAAATCCAGGCACCAGGAGACAGCCGGGCAGGTGCCTAAGTCACCTTGGCTCCAAAACCAAACAGCCCGTTTTGAGACACCACCCACATTGTAAAGCAGTACTTGCATACATTTAAAAAAAAAGATTGTTATATTCCAAAAGCAAAAACAAAAAATCTGAGCTGGGTGTGGCATGCACACCTAGAATTCCAGCCACTCAGGGAGGCTGAGGCAGGAGGATTGCAAGTTTGAGACCAGCCTGGGCAATTTAGATTTAGCAAAAACCTGTCTCAAAACATTTTTTTTGGTTTTTTTTTAAAGGACTAGGATATAGCTCACTGCAAAGGTCCTGGGCTCAATTTCCAGTAACAACAAAAACAAAACCAAAAAATTTTAAGAGTATGGCCTATTTCAAGCACAGTGTTATGCACTACACAGAAGGCTGAGGCAGGAGGGTCACTTGAGCCCAGGAGTTCAAGGCCAGCTTTGGCAACACAGCGAGAAGCTGTCACCGAGGCCCCTTTGAAGGACATGTGGCCGGAAGCTGCTCCTGGCCCCAGCCCGGCTACCTCTGGCTGGGATGTGGCTGAAGACAGAGGCCGCATGGGGGAGGGGTGGGGGCGGCAGACCTTCCTGTGTCCGGGTCACCCCTAGTCGAACTGGCTCACCTCATCCTGAGCCCTGGGTGTGGACCATAGCCTCCTTTTCTTTTTTTTTTCTTTCTTTTTCTTTTTTTGTGTGGTACAGGGATGTAATTCATTGAGCCTGAGCCCCAGCCCTATTTTATTTTTTATTTTGAGACAGAATCTCACTCAGTTGCTAAATTGCCCAGGCTGGGTTTGAATTTATGCTTCAGCCTCTCAGAGTACTGAGATTACAGGTGCATGTTCCACCACACCCAGCTTTCAGCTGCAGGCTTTATCTTCCAGGAGCTTTGAGGACAGTGAAATAAAGCAGGAAGTGGGGCTTCCCGGGCAGCTGGACTGAATCAGCATTGTCCAGATTTTAGAAATAGCATTCCCATCACTCACAGACCCTTCCCAGCGTAGTTACTACTCTGATCCATGAAGCCATCACCAGAGCCTTCGTGCTAAAGCCTGTTGTCACCTCACTTTGCCAGTAAGAATGGAGACTGGAGGGCTGGGGATGTAGCTCAGTGGTGCTGCACCTGCCTGGCAAGTGAAAGGTCTTGAGTTCAATTCCTGATACTGCAAAAAAAAAAAAAGGCCTGGGGATTTAGCTCAGTGGTTCCGGTGCTTCCCTACTTTGGTCCTGGTACCCAAAAAAAAAAAAGGAAACTCGGAGAGCTGGGTGTGGTGGTGCACACCTATAACCCCAGAACTTGGGAGGCTGAGGCAAGAGGATCACCACAAGTTTGAGGCCAGCCTAGACTTCACAGTGAGTTCAAGGCCAGCCTGGATTACACAGTGAGACCCTGAAGGAAGGGAAGGGAAGGGAAGAGAAGGGGAGAAAAAAAAAGAAAGAAGGAAGGAAGGAAGGAAGGAAGGAAGGAAAACAGACTCAGAGAGCTTAAGTTCTTGGGGTACTAGCACAGCTGAGATGCAACAGAGCTGGGTTTTGCTTCATTTTGTTTT